AACACAGGAAACTTACTGACTTAGCGAGACTGAATGTGGTGCTGGGGATTGAACCGAAGTCCCTGTGCTTTGCCAAGCTTGTTCCAAGTAGGTGCTTTAGACCACTGAGCCATCTCTCCAGCCCAAAAGTGAGGAAATTATTAAGAAAAAAGTTGGGGCTGGGGAGATGGCTCAGTAGAATAAGCACTTCCCTGGCCAGCACAAGGTTGAGTTCAATCCCCGGTTCCACCACACACACACACACACACACACACACACACAAAGAAGTTGGCCATGGCAGGGGGGCTCAGAACAGAAAGCGTGTGGAGAGGCAACATCAGCAAGGGCCAGCACGGCAGCTCCAGAGGTGTCAGGTTTGTAGACATTCTTCAAACTGCTCAGAATGGCTTTGCCTTTTTCTGTATGTTGACATATCTTGAAAATTTTTGAATTTTATTCTCTTCCTTCATTAACAAAGAAAATAAACTTACAAAATACTACCCCATGTAAAGCAGCTTTGGGGAGAAAATATTCCAAAGCTAAAAAACATAACCAACTAAGAGAAATATTTACACTATATACCACTAAATTAATCTTCATAACAAAGAACTTCTAGCAATTGAAAAGAAAATGACCAATTAATCACAGAAAAAGTACTAATAGCTTTAACCAGAAGAACAGATGTCATCTTCCCTTATGATGGACAAGTGCAGATCTCAGGATCCTAAAATGCCATTTGTCACTCTACAACTGGAGAAAATTCACATCTGACAATGAACTTTGGACAAGTTCCTGGCTAAGCCTGGGTTTGTGGGGGTCCACAGGCCCTGCGCCTCCATACACACAATTATAAGCCATGCTAACAACCTGTTAAGTCAAATATGTTCCATCCTTCTTTGCTGGCAAATGTACCTGAGTGATGTTGAGGAGGTCCAGAACTGAGTTTAGAATTCTTATACCTCTCAGACTTCCTCACTGAATGATAGCTGTGCCTGCTTCTAGCTTAGAGCCTATCTCCTTCTCTTCCTAGGTCACATCAAGGGGGCCTCACACCCATATCCAGATTCTCAGCCTATGCCATGGCCTCACATATGCTCGGAAAGCTCTCTGCACTGAGCTACATCCACAGATCCTTGGGTTTGTTTTTAATTTTGCTGCTATTGAGGGTCCAAGATGCTACTACAGCTGGTTAGCTGTGTCAGAACCAGGGACCTGGGTGGTTGTACCATTTAAGATGTCTTGTCTAACTGACTCTAGCCTAAGCCAGGCAGGGGACAGGACTAAAGGAAGTGACCTCTGTGTGTCCCACTGCCAGAGGTGCTTATCAGGAAAACCTATGCAATTTATTGACCAAAAGTTGGATTAGCAGAAAAACCTGTTTAGGATGGGGGGGGGTGGCACAGGCTGGGGAGACAGTTCAATGGCATAAGCACCTGCCTGGTAAGCGCAAAGTCTCAAGTTCAATCCCCAATACAAAAAAAATTTGAGAGAGAGAGAGAGAGAGAGAGAGAGAGAGAGAGAGAGAGAGAGAGTCAGTTAGTTAGTCAGTCACTCACCCCCTTCCCCAGGCAGGCAAGTGCAGGGACCACTTTCTCCTGGGCGATGCACTGAAGGATCCGGGGTGCCCCGTAGAGTCCTCCCATGCAGGAGGCCAGGGAGGAGATGTACAAACCCAAAAGGAACAAGAAGCCCACCAGGGACACCTGTGTGAGAGAGCAGATTCACCATCACTGTGGTTTGGATCCTGAATGTCCTGGCCCATGTGCTAAGTCCCTGTCCCATGTCCTCAGGGTGGTGATATTGGGAGGCAATGGCATATTTAAGTAGAGTCTAGTGGGAAGTGGAAGGGGAGGTTTTTAGGTCTCTTGGCAGGTGCCCTCAAAGGGTAGTGTGGATCTCAGAGCCTCTCCCTCTCCCCATCTCTCTCCCAGTTCCTCTCCCTTCACCCAACTCTCTTTTCCTGGCCATGAGGTGAGTAGTTTTACTCTATTATGTGCTTTCCACCATTGCCATCTGGCATCCCTGTTACAGGAACAAAGCAATCCTACAGATCATAGGATGGAACCTCTAGAACCATAAGCCACAGCAAGCTTTTCTCATTTATAAGTTCATTATCTCAGACAATTTTATCAGGACCAAAAACCAATATAATCATTCAATCTCAGAACTGGGTCTGCCCCTTCTACTCACCCACTGACACTCCACCTAAGATTGTACTCCATCCTCTGGAGTTAACCTCAGCTAGATTTCCCACTCTCAGCCCCAGAGCACTTCATCACACTATTTCAAGTTAGTCCATCTTGTACAGCAATTAACCACTAAGAAGAATATATGCAGTGTATTATTTGTTGAAACTGTACTTCCGATTTGATTTGAAACTGTCTCATTGCTATCTGTTTATCAATAAAACTTTGAAAAAAAAATAATAGAAAAAAAAAAGTTAGTCCATCTTCTCAGGTGGGCTACTCAGACAGTGCTATCAGCAGACTCATGCACAGGGCTCAGCAAAAGATCTCCCCATGCGTAGAGTTTGGGATTAAGGTGGGGCTAGAAAATATAGATTTCCAACAGGTGCCCAAGTGACACCGACACTCATGGGCTGGGAGTGATATCCTGAGATCCCTTGGTCAAAAGCAATGCCAGTTAGCCTCCTGCATCTGAGCTCCCTGTCTCTGGACCACCCTTCTGGCTTCTGCCAGGTGACCTCTCTGACTCAAATCTGATCCTCAGAATGGTTCTCACTGGCCTGTCTAGCTCCAGATTCTGTGCACACAGCCATGGTTCAGCATGATTGCTTTGCCCACTAGATCTCTCTGTCCACATTTCTTTGTCTACTTAGTGTGTATTAAACTCCTAACTGGGCATCGAGTCCACCCAACCCTCAGGTCCTCCAAAAGGCCCTCCCCAGCCACCCAGAAGCTACAGTTGTTCTTCAGGGCTCCATAGAACCTCACCATGATAGGATCACACCTGTGTCACTGTCTCCTCTACCCAGACCATGGCTTCATTCAAGCTGGTTTCCTGTCTTGTTCATGCTTGTGTTCTTGGTGCCCAATATAGGTACATAAAGGAAGGATGAATGAATGAATGAATGAATGAATGAATGAATGAATGAAAGAGACCCATGACCAGACTGGTCACAGGCATCAAGAGATACAGCAAGAGAGGGCACAGCCAGTGTCCTTGCACTCAGCTTGCAAAATATGCACGCTGCTCACCGTGCGATGGTGTCCCAGACCTGAGTGAGAAGCCCACCTCTAACCATAGCCGGTCACCACCCACACCCACAGGGAAGGTTCTGTTTGGTTACTTGTGGTATCCTCTCCATTACACCCTCCTTGAGGCACAGCAGACAGAACTGTCAGTTTCAAGTACTCCTATTTCCATCTACTACAGGTAGGTTAGATGTAATATTTGCTTTTGTCACTTACACACTCTTGACCAATCCTCTCCATGTCCTGTGTTCACTTCCTTCCTCTCACAATGCACTCGATCAATGTCATCAAGTCACATCAGCCCCTGGCTAGACCTATTTCTTGCCCCTAGAATAATTTCACCACTAGAATAATTTCATGAATCTTGCATCAGTCAGGATTCTTGATTGAAAAAAGAACCACTTAAAAAATATATTTGTGGGACACTAGAGGGTCACAGAATCACCAGGAGGTTAAAGATGAGACTTGGAGAGGGACAAGACTCAAGCCCAGAGACTCGGACTCCTCTCCAGAGGACTGTGGGCACCCCTGGGACCTTGTGGATGAGTTGTGGCCTCTCTGTTCCTTTGACTTATTCAGCACATTTTAAACACCTGATGGCCTAGCCTTGGTTCTGTGCCCTATTAGGTTGCAAAAGGATGGGCATGAGAGGTTCTGGTTCTTCAGCTTCTGAATCTTAAATGGAAATCCCACTCCCTTGAAGGCTGTGCACAAGGCTGAGTAACCCCAAAGAGTCAGGGAGGTAAGAGGGCTGGTGGACACATCGAGGGTTCACTGCTGAGCCCACCTGTTCTGTGACTAAGTGTGGACGGCTCTTCCCCAGATGGGCTGCCTCACTCTTACCCTCATCAGCCTCACCTGTCTCCTTCCTTCAATGCCATGGGCTTCTCAGGTCTGTGCCTCCACCCTCCTTCGCTTACCACTATATCACTACAAGAAACTCATGTCAGCCGGACATCAGCTGAACATCCATCACTTTGCAACTTCATGGCATTTCTGTTATTTCCTTTCCTGTAGGACAGTTAACTAGGCATGTGGCTCATCCTGCCTATGCTCCGGGAGCTCCTTACCAGTAGATCTGAGTCATGCATGCTCACCCCTGCGGTAACCAACAGTGGCAGGCCAACAGGGCTCAGCAGCTGAACGAAGGAAGCCTCGTGACTCTATGTGGCCTGTGCCCTCAAGGTCTTATAAAACTACCAGATAAGCTGGCCCCACCATTGATCCCTCACCCACTTGGAGATGTATCATTCATCTGTAACCCATGTTTCTGCCTTCTCTGCTGACTACAGTCTATGTTGACTGGTTTTTAAAAAACCTCTATCATATTTTATCAAAAACAATTTAAAAATTTAACTCAGTAGTTCTCTTGACTGGCTTTACACAAGAATCTTCCTGAAGGTGCTCATTTAACTAGTGTTGAATGGGACACCGATGTTGATTTTTCAAAGGCCCTCTAGGTAATTCTAACATGCAGTTGGTAGAGAGCCACTGAGTATGGTACATCTACTGCATCTGTCCCTCATAGACTTCTCTAGGAGAGGCAGGCATGGCTTCTTTTTGTGAAAATTTGATTTCTTCTAGCCCAAAAGACTATAGGGCCATCCCTCAGTTTCCTTGGGGGATTAGTTCTGGGATTCTACAGACACCAAAATCCAGAGGAGCTCATATCTCTTTTATAAAATGGCACAGTATTTGCATGCAACTTCATACATCCTCGCGGATATGATAAATAACCTCTAGATTTCTTATAAACCTTATGCAATGTAAATGCTATGTAATTAGTTGTTATCCCATATTGTTTAGGAAATAATGATGAGAAAAGAGTCTGCTGGCTTCAAAGCAGATGTAATTTTTTCCTGAATACTTTGAATCCGCATTTGGTTGGGTAAATGGACGTGGGTCCTGGAAACACAGAGAACTAGCTGTGTGTGTTCATTTGCTTTGCTCCCTTCTGCATCTTCTGATGCTGACCTAATCTCAGGCACTCAGTGGGTCTAGGCTCTGGGAGAACGTGATGCCGGTGACTTCATCTGTGGCCACCTTCCACAGACACACCCTGGACTCCTTCAAAGCCCTTGTGGCTGATGTCAGATGGGGAATTGCTCAAATATAGCAACTTGTTTATGTGCAGTTTGACAGTTGTGCTTAGAATGAGCCATTCAATTACTTTTTTAATACATAGAACTATTGTTCAATCAGCTTTCTGAAAAGTAAGTGAAATGTTGGCACACACTTCCTGAAAAATTATCAAAACTCAGCTCTATCTTCATTCCACTTGAAGCTCAGCTCTTCCTTTCTGCCTGTCATCCATCCATCCATCCATCCATCCATCCATCCATCCACCCATCCAGGAAGCACTTCCTGAGGATGACTGTATTCCTGACGTGGGTCAGGCATTATTATGAATACAACAGTAAACCATGTAGCTCTCCCCTACCTCAGAAGATTTAGCCATTTTCTCACTCATATTGTACTGAAAATTTGCTAAATGTGCAGTAGAAGTAAAAGTGAGAATTTATTTGAACAAATGTATGTGTATAGTTCTTCAAAAAGAAATCTGGATCATATCCTCTATCACATACTTGTCTGCATCATTATGTAAAACTATGATATGGATGTGAACTACCCTTGTTTTTGTTTTCAGCAACTACTGAAGAGAATAATTAAGTATATCTCTCTGCTCTTTGTAACTTATTCTGGCTCTCCTTCTAAGCTTCAGCCACTGAGGGACTTTGGCCATTCAGTAGCTTCTGTCTTCTCTTAAAGGACTGACTATATAATGGTTAGGTCTAGAATATCCATCACAGAGTCTCATGTGCTCAAGGGTAGGGCTTTTTGAATGATATTGGATTATGTGGGGCACTACGCTCAGCAGTGGACTGGTCCATGGTAGCAGGTGCTGGTAGGTAGTGAGGCCTGGTTGGAAGAGGTGAGTCACCAAGGGTGGACCTGGAAAGGGTTGATCTCACACACAAGCCCTCCTCTCTTTGCTTCTGCTGCCATGACTTGAGCAGGTTCTCTCAGCCAGGCCTTTCTACCATGCCATGACTGCCTTGGAGCCTGTCAACCATGGACTGAATTCCCCATAAAGTGAGCCAAATTAAACCTCTCCTCCTTTGAATTGTGAGTGTTGAGTATTTTGTCCCTGCAATGAGAAAGGTGACTCCTACAGACAGGGTTTTAAATCACTTGCAAGGGTTTCATTTCCCTCATCCAATTCCTGTTACCCCTTAGTGTTACTGAGGAATATGTCCTGTAACCCTTACAAGGCCAGGAATACTGAGGCAATGTCTCCACTGCCCTTTGATGTTTTCCCTCAGCATATCTCCACAAGGACAGGAGTTTCCCAATACCTCCTTCCTCCACAGATTAACCAGCACCTCAGAGTCAGTCAAGTTTTCCCTGTCCTCCTGCTGGATAGCCATTCTCCATAAAGAGGCAGAGGCTGCTCTACTTCCTGAAAGGCCACACTGTGTCCACACTGG